GTCCCTAGTACGTGTGTCCATTTAAATAAGAAATACGGTAATGTCGTTCGATGTGAAACGAAGCGTTGATGGAAAAAAAAGAACGGGGAAAAACCCATTGCGTCGTCGAGCAACCCCAGCTTTCAAACCCGTATACACCTTGTTATTTAGCCTTGTTATTTTATTCGTGCGTTATTCTTGCTACAACTAGTGAAAATTTCACTCTGCTTTTTCACGGTACAAGACTGTGATACTAACATAGAGCGTAATAATAACATCGGACCAACGAATTTTAAGATTAGCACCAATAATTTACTTTCTGGAGAGGTACTGACAGAATGTAACATTTAAACTATCGTTTCTGCTCGTACCGCTACAAGATATTGAGTTTTCGAAAAAAGCTGCGACGGTGGAATACATTTATTGAAAAGTATTTGATAGTCTGTTTCGGTACGGTATTGGAGCTACGACTCCCTTCTTAATACTATCGCGATACAAACAGTCATTTATATGCTTAGAGCGCATAATTGCTATAATATATCCGAGCGCGTTAATAGTCGATAACCGTAGCCAAGTTCCATTTGCTATCGGTGAAAATTTTTCTTTCCTCGCGGTCGAAGAAACGCTCTCGGTTCTCAGAGCGTGGCTAAGCATGAGTCACGAACTAGTCGATTGATTACGTTCACAGGTGACCAGTCGAGAATGCGTTTATGCTGGCGCTAGACTTTTCCCATGCGTCACTCCAAAAAGATCGTAATTACGTTTTGCTAGAATTTCTCGGTAAATTTTCTTATTATATTCGCTTCGTCTCTGCCGTACGTAACGCTCTTGCTCGAAATCACGATCGAACGATTGCGCTGGCGAAAATTCGCTGAAATCGATAAGACAGAGCGCGACGATAAATTAATCGGTTGTCGCGTTAGGCCAGGTTGTTTCGTCGGTGTCGCTGTCGGTAACAATTACCAGACACGAAGTAGGCGGCGCGTAGCGTGTCGACTACGAAGCGGATCGCGCGAACGAGGACGCGCGACACGACGCGATTTCACGAGGAGACGCAGCCACGAGAGTGTGACGCTTCGTACTTCGTTGATGTCGCACCGGTTTGTTGCTCGACCGTCTATCAGATAAAGCGTTAACCGGTCGTTTGACCCGACTGATTCGAAAATTGTACCCGCGAACACGTTTTCGCGCTAGCGCGCGCACGCGCTTATGCCGTTTATGGAACGTTGAAAACTGACTTGTACCTTTTTTTCTTTCTTTGTCTCTTGAATTTCATGCTCGTTACCCGAGTTTAACCTTCGTTATCCGTAGTAGAGGCTCGCACTACTCGTTTGCAAAAACCATTTGTGGAAATATTTGCCTCTACTCCGAGGATGTTTTTCGACTCTTTTGTTACAGCGAATTTCAGCGGAATGCAACTTTATTCGTAACGTAATATGTACTTACATACTTTTAAACATGCTCGATGTTGATTCGCGACGCGAAGATACATCGAAAGTTACAGACGAGTTCGTCGATTGTTTTTCGTGGCGGACAAGATTAAGTCTACCCGTCACCGGCAATGTATTAATGACGCAGATGATGGAGAGGAGCAATGATCGTCGATGTACGTACACGTACCTCGTTCGGTTTCCTCTTCGTTGCATGTCGTACATGGCGCTCAGACTAATTATCACAGCTGTCGGAATTGTTGCTTCCATATCTTCGAGATATCTCCACGATTAAGCGCAACAACCAACGTTTCGGTTCTACGTCGCAAATAATTTTCTTCGTAACTTTGACGCGCGAAAATTATCTGTCCTTACGTTTTTAGATTTAGCCAAGAACGATTGTCGTTCTAGCTTCGGCATAGCGATGTACACGTGAAAAATGAAAAAATGCGTAAAATTACGAACAACGTGTCTGTTCGTTGAAATTGAATCCTCGAGCACTGTCCCGTTTCCTCGGTTCAAATGATAATTCGTCCGGTCCCACGAATCAATTTGGTTGATCACGATCGATAACCGTACCAATCTCGCAACATGCAATCTGTCCAGCCGTGTAATTACGCTGCGGGCCCGTTTAATGATTCTTAAGCGACGAATATTGATTGCCCGGGAAGTCGGAATTCTTCGGATCAAATTGTGGAGTAAGACGCGAATAAATCATTTAACGATTTCAGTCTGAACCTGTATATTTTCAAAAATCAAGAAGCTCGCCACAATTATTTCTAACTTTCGCGCGAATAAATAATTCTGCAGGAAAAAAAAATCACGAATATTCTTGATACGTTACTCTTTTAAGCGCAGACATTTCTCTGCAAATGTATGTTTCTGAAAATTCTCTTTTCTTTGGACCTCGTGATCAAGTGTTACCTCTTGATGCGAAGCCTGACTCTGCAACACGTGATAATATAGTAATACATAGTAGTATAGGAACACCCGATACTATAAAGCGTGGTATAATAACAATATCAGATGGTATTTCAACGACTAAGGATGCAAATCGATGATAATGCGACGCTATAATGTAACGCGTAACAATGCAATAATACCTAACAATATATAGTACGACAGTGTAGAATACGTCGGTATAGAGCGTAGCGATATAACTATGGTCTACCGTAAAATTCTATACCTACCGTGAATGTATACGTATACGTTTGAAGGTTTCGTTGAACGCGTCGCGCCGTATGCGATATACGCGTGCCATCGTTAAAAGACATCGAAGCATTGGTTACTCGATTCATCGATAAGAAAAGAAAAGGCAATATACGCGTCTGACAGCGATTTACTAAACGTTACTCACGTTTTTTTCCGAAGAATTACATCGCTGAACGCTATTTTCAGAATATTGGTACAACATCGAGCAAAGGGGTGGAACATCGAAACTGCTTCGTAGATCACGATTATGATCACGGCAGAGAGTTCTGTCGTAAGAGCGTCGCAGAGGGGACCAGTGATTAATTATAACGCAAATATTTGTCCACGGCTCGATAAGATCCACGCGAAGCGTCTACTTTGGTTACAGCTGACTGGATCTCGGTGATTCGTGACGATGGAATCTCAACAATTCCGCTCCGTGTTTCCCCTAACTCGTACAAAAATAGGCTACCGATATTACACGTGGCATGCTCGGACATCGACGACGCGACTAAACGATATTTATCTCGTTTCCTTTAATCGTATCTTAAACCCTTCGATACGAATCGTTGCTATATTCTATGCGAATACCAAAAGCGGATCGATCCTGCGATCGTTGTGAAAGACAGTTGCCTACCATGAAACGCGAATTTTCATCGTCAACGACTAAGGAAATCCACGGCTCGAAGATAAGGGGCGATAGAAAGCGCGGACGAAAGAGCGAATCGAAGTTACCGAAGAAGCGAAAAAACTGGAAGCTATTTCGATGCAGTCGAATCGCGTCAGAAACGATCTAGCAAGGTCGGCGGAACGATTTCCTTCCGTGTGGTATGTCTAAACTGTTCGGCGTAAAGAATGGCCACGGTGAACAGAAAATAACAGAAGCATCGAAAGGTATGACGAGATAGCGTTAACTCGCGTAGTTTGTTATTTTGGTTTTGCCGTTAACTCCCGCGAGCCAACGACAAGAGACATTCGCCAGACCACCCTGATACTCTTCTTCTCTCTTCGATTCGTCTCGTCACGCTTTCGTTGTTGATTTTTCATCGTTTTCTTGCCGTGACCGATCGAGTCTCCTCTTTCCGAGCGCCGCGCCACGTCGTGCTCGAAAATAATCGAAACATCCGATATTATCCCCTCTCTCCTCTTTTGCCTAACATTATCCTGGACCATACATTTAGGTACTCGCGTTCGATCTAACATCAACGATTAGGTATAATCTGCATTTGAAAAAAGCGAAGATTTGGAGCAGCGATGGCCGATCGTATCCGCGAGGATAAGCTACAAGTTACACTATTTTAGATATTTAATTGACCGTTTTGAAAAATTTCATCTCGAAATATTGCATTGCAAGTTGATATTTCTATAAATGATTGATATATCGAATTTCTTTTTGGAAAAACATCGTTATAGCGTATCTTTATATTTAACGTATACGGGTATAGGGCTCGAGACGTAATAAAATAAATTTGAAATCTTTAAAGTTTACAATGTTTTCGGATCCGGATATTATCGATCGAACGAAGCAAAGCGGATGGTTACTGTAAAAACGCGTGAATGGAATAATCGCGAGGAATTCGTGTCGTCTGGTCCAGGTCCTCGGCAATGGCGATCAAAAGGTCTTTACGTAGGACGGTGAACGGAACACGGTGGCTTCTTTTCATCCTCTCTACCTCGGGTTCCTTTTATAAGAACACTTTACAATGGACCACACGCGCAGTGACCTCGAAGCGAGTGCGCTTCTTACAGGGTCAGGGCCACGTGTCATCTATCTTAGAGAGTTTCATATTCACTCGGTGACACTAATGCCTGGTCTACGCTCGCGGTGCGAGCTTTATCTGCCCGCTGGAACGCGGGAGATTTCGAGGCGGGACCGTTTTTTCTTTCTTTCTTTCTTTCTTCTTCCTTTCTTCTCTCTCCTTTCGCGTAAGAAATCGCCTCTCGATGACAGCCAAACGATTCAACGTCGTAGAAAAATTGTCCCGATTGTCTGAAAGAGTTCGATAAAGTAGATCCTCGTTTTCTTCGCGGCGTTTCGTTGTCTCGACTTATCTGTGGGAATAAATTGTCTTTCGAAATGTCTCGAGTACAGTCGTTCAAATTATCTGAATTTTTTTGGGAGTTCAGAGGAGCGCGTTCAACAAAGATAGAGAAAAAGAAGCGAAACAAACTCCCTTTATTAACCTTTTCAGGGATGCTGACACGTACATATTTGTATCTTTAGTTTCTCCTCTTTTCTATCCGATACGTTAAACAACGATTCGATCGATGTTGCATACAAACCTTTATCATATCGTTCCCTTAAATACTATCGGTTGACGTATGAAACACTTTCGTTTCGTTGATTCGTCGTTGGTTATCTGTATTGCGATTTTAAATACGAACAAACGATTGTTTCAGTGGCCAACGTGGTTCTATCGACCAGATTTCCCTCTCGGTACACCACTGCCTCCGACTAACCACGTTTCGAACACCAGCAGTGTTCCTACCTCGTCGCCTTTATCCTCCAGATGTTTGCACTCGGACGCGCCAAAGGGTTCAGAGTTTCTTGACAGCAGCAAGATCCACGGGCAAACTCCGACGATATGCACGGTAAGTTTCTCTAGAATGGTCGCTTTAGGAGATCGACTTTCATAAGTAGCGAACATAAAGGAAGACACGATTTAAGGAGTAACGGTGAGTATCGAACTCGAATCGGATATTGAATTTCGAAAGGTAGAGGGGCGCGCGACATCGTTCTCGCGAACGATAAGCGAAAAGAAGAGTGTCGCGAAAGGGAGGCCATTCGTCAATATCGAAAGGATGGTTATCCTGAAACGATAAAATCGCGTGGGCGTGCTGTGGCTTGTTAGAAGGAACGCTGTCGTGGTCCCTCGTTAGCGGCGATCTGCCGCGCAACAAATGATTTAAATATAATACTTAATAATGCCACGCTAACGCGCGTATACTCGGCCATAGTATTCAATGCGCCGACTTTTGTTTCTCGATTATCATTATCCAGCCGCGTAAATCGTGTCCCGTGATATTAATGGCGCGTAGTCGGGCCGAGCAGTCGCGGCAGCGATCAATCTCGTTGTCACAATTAAATACGCCGCGCTGGCAAGCCGAAGAATAATTTATATCCAGCTACCCACGTGAAGAACGAAAGGGAAGCGAGGGAACGACTCCGGACGAGTTCTAGCCGTGTCTTTGAAAAAATACCGATACGTTTCGTCGAATTTGTCCTGAATCGAATTTCGATTTTAACCTGAAGATATCGCGATCGAGCTGTGTCGAGCCTAGGATCTCGAAGTAAAGATATCTGCCGATATACTTTCAGAGACATTCGAGTTACTTCGCTCGAAACTTGGTCCGGATCTAACGAACGATTGTCTATCATAATTTTCTATCAAGATTCCCGTTAAAAATCTGACGCGAAAGAGGAAGCGCAGGATACATCCCCGTAACTTTGATTAATGTTAAGCTTCAAGACCGATCTCGTAAATAATTGGCTCCCAGATTAATCGTTTTCTGATGAACCGCGCTTGTCCGGCTTTTATTTATGTTTATTCGCGAGCGTAATTGAAAGTCTAAAGGGCTACTACAAACATTGAACCTTAGAATCGCGTGCGGATGCAATCGATAGCTCGGGCAATTTATTTCGAGAGTAAAGAAAAAATTGGTAGTCTCTAAGTTGAAACGTTCCAGTTGATCGATCGAAACGTTTCAACCGGGACATGACATAGTAAGCGTCTAATGGGCACGCATGATTTCTCCATGGGTTTACCGTGCACTTGCATGTCCACTTTTAATCGACGCGTTTCTCCTTCGACTCTAATTCGCCATTGATTCGTGAGAAATTTGAAATTGCCTCTTGTATCGTAGGTATCGTGCTGTTTGACACTGCAACCGGTACAACCGATTAACTTGATTCGCCTTTGGTTAACACGCGTTCGCCTATCTTATCTCGGACTCTTTTCGCCGAAACTATCCTTGATAGGATCGCTACGTCTGCTACTGAATTTTTATTCTTGACACTATTTACAAAGAATAGCTAGAAATATGAACGTGGTCGTAAATTATCAAGTAAAATTGTTTTCAACTCGAAGCGCTAAGAAGCGGACGAATTATTACGAAGTATAACAGAATCAATTATTTTGTTGGGCAGTTATAAATGCAAAAGTCTTATACGGAGCATACTTATGCTCTCTTATTAGACGAGTAAAGCTGTTTAATTATCCAACTTTACTCAGAATTAATACCCAATTACCTCCGAGTACTTTTTTCAAACTAGCAGTTTAAATGCACCGTTAGATGACCAACCGTTTCTTGTTCGTTACGAATCGGTAAATTCATACGACCGGTAATAATATATCGCTCATTATCATATTTAATGTTACGTAACGCATTTCACGCTATCGCATTTTTCATTAGACGACGACACAAGGAAGACCTATCGTTGGCACCGCGAATTGAAAACGATCGAAAACGATATTATTCTCGAAACGTCGATCGGTATTTCCAAGATGAGTCGAGCTATATGAAATTTATAGGATGACACACCTTTGGTAACGATCCGCTTGTAGCAGCAGCTCGAGCGATCGCGTGGGCGTTACTCGTGAATCGAGAGAAAACCGTGAAATTGGTCGCGAGCCAATTATTCAATTTCTGTCTAACGATCAACTACCATCAGCTACGTACCTTGAATTTTGTTAAACTCGTCGGATTTCGTCGAAAGAACTATCCACCTGCCAATTTAACTTCCAAACGATATCGATACTATTAAGTTATAACGGATTCAACGAAATTAGGGCTAAATTAAGATTTCGGGGTTATTAACAGAATAGTGGTATATGCATTATCGTTGTTTAGGTTGGGTCAGTTTAGCGAAATAATCGACAAATATGATAGTAATGTGGCTAGATAGCTAGCGAAGTAATGAAATAGCGGTCTATTAAAATAGCAAAATGGTGGAAACGGAAAGTCGATTAACGATGTTGTATTCTGCATTGTTGCAATTACAGCGTACCACGAGCATAAATGAATAGTTAATTTTTGTTACCTCATCCTCGTGTTGCGAGTCCGAATAAAGTTTAATCGACAACGAAACGATATAACGGTTCACAAACGTCTCGAGTTTCGAAACGTTTTCGTCGCAGTACTCGCTGTTCGGCCATACTTTTGACCCGTGTCGCTTAATTGCCGCTTAAATTCGCGTTACACGATGTCAATTACGATTTCATGGGGAGCGGAACTCGAGGTCCGTAGAGAGGCATGCATCGAAAGGAATTCCGCTACCGGTCGCCGAGATGTCGGCAAATAATGAACCAAGAAAAAATCATGAACTAATCATTAAGCGTAACCGTTTGCCGAGCAACGACAGAGAAAGCCTAATAAAGAAAGATTGTAAAGATTAAACGAGTGGCGCGAAGAGACGCGACGCGAGCTCGGTGACGAAGCAACGACGAGGCAATGGCTACCGGTAACCAACGGCTAATGACGATTACTTTTTTTGTCGAATCCTTTTACTCTTTTTTTCTCTCCCTCTCTGTCCGACCGACCACTTTTCACCGCTCACGGGAACACCGTCGTCTCCCGAGCGTTATCTCTAATTACTGTTATTACGAAAATATTCCTCGACTCGATCGGTACTTCCGTATTTTTTACGCGTTAGATTACGAGCGTCCGCAGTGTCGCAGCGCTTTACATTCCGTTTTATTAACCATGGAGAATCGAATCAAGACCAGCGGAATCATTTATTCCGGCGAACGATTCCTCTTTCGTTCACGGTTACGTCGCTCCGAAATTCTTTTTAAGTGGTTCAGTTATTTTACTTTATTTTACCGTTAAATTTAAATAGCTGCTACTGTATGCGTTCGATGTAGAAAATTTCGATTTAATTGTTGAAAAGTACCGTTTATAGCGTATAATAATTAATTTACGTAGAAATTAATTCTCCTTTCGATGTGTTACCTTAGAATATCGAGTCGGATCGGTGATTTTATCGCGACCAACGTTTAGGTGTTCTGTCCTCGCAAACAACGCCCGGATACGTGGTTGTTAGGAAGAAGATCCATAAAAACGAGCACGAAGCGTTGAGTCGCGTCGCGAAATTGCTGGTAATTCCTGGTATCGGCTTTCAACAAATAATTAAGTAAACGCGATAAAGCGTGTTCGGCCGATGAAACGTGGTTCTGTAGGTTGGATAAAGGAACGCGTTCATAAGCTTAGTCGGCGACATCTGACGCTGGCTACGAAACGACTGATTAGCCCAGTCGCGTTTGAAGCTTCGCGAGAAAGAGGACAAGAAGATCGGCAGGCTATCAGTCAACGATGCCACGTACTTACATACTTACGTACGCGCGTCTTTCGAACGATGATGACGCTGATCGTCGAGTCTAGGCTGATTGCGCGGTTGATGAACGTTCGCGAAGGACGTTGAACCGTTCGCGACTGCATTGACTGATGCGACTGCTCGAGGTTGATTCAAACTTTCAGCCAAACGCGAATGAATGAACGACGATCGAACGTCGACTAAATGGACGATCGATTGAGCTGTTAACCCTAGGAATCTTGACGCGACGCGAAAATCACGTAGACTCGCGCGCGTCGATGTAACGGATACGCGATCGCCCATCGAAAGAACATAGAATACCGGTAGCGTTATTCCGATAACGAAACTAATAAAATGTTCCCTTTTTCGAAAATCGCTATCGAAGTCGATCTCCAAGGTCTACGGGTCGTTTCGTCGACGAACAATATTTTCTCGATCGAAACGATACTGTTACGCTGTGTTATGTCTTATAATCAGTTCTTAATCCGAAAGCTGAGAGGTTGTAAAATCACGAGAAAAAAGGTGATATCGTTTAAAACGCGGAACAAAGAGACGTCTACCTTTCGCGAATGGTCGCTCGAATCGATTTTCGTAATAGTTCGCGAGAAACAATCGATAGGAACGAACGCGTGTATCCACGCACGTTGAGTGAACAGGCACGCTAAATTTAGCAGGGAGCCAGGGAAACGAGATTAATAGCGCAGACCAGGCGGTGAATTAAGGCTGATCCGTATCGCAAGGACAGAGCAAGTTTGATACCGAAGGGCAACGCGAGTGCAAACGATCTAATTAAACGTCGGTGCAATTACATTTCTACTTCGAACGCGATACGACAGTCCGACGAAACTTTCGAAACGCTAATTACTTCGTTTCTACTTTACCCGTTTTCGAACGCGGAAGAATACCAACCCCCGACTGCAGTCCCCTCGCATCGTTTCGCGATTTTAACGTCGATCAGACGGACCGTGCGATTTCACCGCGCTGCACGAACCCGCGAGAATATTTTTACAAGCTTCTCTCCGGTGGTAACGTATCACCACGCGAAACAACGTTTCGAACAAAGAATCGGCAAAGATCGATCTAACCTTTCAGTTTGGCTGCGTACCGTTTTTACGTCTCGTCCTTGTACGCCGACTGTTTGTCGTTTCGTGGTTAATCGCTGGCAGAGCGCAGGCCGAAGAAACGCGGTGATTGCCACGGGTAAGTACAGTTCGTACGAGCAGGATCAACGCCGCTCTTTTACGAGGCTCGCGTGTGGTCGTCCTTAGCTAATTGTACG